AGCGTTCTGTTTCGTGTCTGGAGAGTTTCTCATGAGTAGGCTGGCCGTTTCTCTGGTTTTATAGTAAATCGTCAGTTGTATCCTCTGATTTTTGTCTGTAGGGATAACGTCTATTAACAAAGGAATTTGTGGACTTACTGCGGGGCGCACGGGCCACAGGGATAAGAGCCTCGTTGGACGTAGAATCGCTGTTTACCAACGTACCTGTGGACGAGACAATCGGAATGATAGCCGACAGAGTGTATCGTGATCCAGCCTGTACTCCTCTTGACATGCCAGAAAGTATTCTGAGGAAACTACTCCAAGCTTGTACTAAAGAGGCACCCTTCTTGAGCCCGGATGGGCATATGTATAAGCAAGTAGATGGGGTCGCTATGGGTTCTCCCCTAGGTGTCCTGTTTGCAAACTTCTACATGGGTACCATCGAGCAAAAAGTCTTAGTCGACATGAACTTGAAACCGGCCATATACTGCAGGTATGTTGACGACATTTTTACACAGGTACCTGATGTCAGACATCTGCAGGAGCTGAAGGAGGCATTTGAGCAGAGTTCCGTGCTGCGTTTCACTTACGAGACGGAAAAGGATGGGAAGCTGCCTTTTCTAGATGTAACAGTCATGGAAAAGGGCGGAGGTTTCCACACTGCAGTCTACACAAAGGAAACAAACATAGGAATGTGCCTAAATGCCAACAGCGACTGCCCTGACAGGTACAAGAGGAGTGTTGTTAACGCATACGTCGACCGTGCTCTCAGCCACAGCTCAGAATGGAAGCAAGTCGACGAAGAACTCTGTAGGGTAAGGCAGGTTCTAGTCAATAACGGCTTCTCCAATGGTTTCATCGAAGACATCATAAGAAGGAAAGTGAAAAGCCATGCAACCTCTGAAGAGACAACTAACACAACACCTATACCCCCTATTAGACTATTTTACAGGAACTTCTTTTCCACAGCTCATAAAACAGAGGAAAGGGTCCTGAAAGATATTGTTAATAGAAACGTTATCCCTACAGACAAAAATCAGAGGATACAACTGACGATTTACTATAAAACCAGAAAAAACGGCCAGCCTACTCATGAGAAACTCTCCAGACACGAAACAGAACGCTTTAAAAGAGACTAACGTCGTCTATGCCTTCAAATGCCCACTTGGGGACTGTAAGCTCCAAAAAACCCAGTATATAGGCAAGACAACAACATCTCTTTCTAGGCGTTTAACGATGCATAAACAACAGGGCTCCATTAAGGAACATATAATCTCTTCCCATAACCAAACCATCGCCAGAGAAATCCTAGTAAACAACACAGAAATCATCGATAGATACAGCGATAGCAGGCGGCTTGACGTTTGCGAGGCACTACACATCAAGAAGTCAACACCAGCAATCAACAGCCAATTATTGCACAACTATATTCTACCCACCTCAAGACTCCGCTCCAATATAGAAGCATCAAGAAATATGGACCAATAGGCTTTCTACAAACACTTCTATTCAATATCCATTGTTTCGTGTTCTGTCTTGTGTTGATACTTTTAATACCCTATTAATATCCTCTAATGCCACATCATCCTTCCCACCTCACTCAAATGTAATGCCACATCACCCTTCCCACCTCACTCAAAAGTAGATATAAAATCAGGGAAATGCAAGTTCTAATCAGTTGTGTATTTGTGAAGTCTTTGAAAATGTAATAAGTTTTACGAAACGCGCCCGTGTCGCGTCAGACTAGAAATAAAAATGAATTTTGGAGAAGTGATTTTTGATTTACCTCCAACAGTGAAGCATAATGTACGAAAGATTGAGAAAATTCGTGTTAGAATTATTAATCTTACTTTTTCGGTCATATTTAATAAAATATATATATATATATATATGTCGTACCTAGTAGCCAGAACGCACTTCTCAGCCTACTATGCAAGGCCCGATTTGCCTAATAAGCCAAGTTTTCCTGAATTAATATATTTTCTCTAATTTTTTTCTTATGAAATGATAAAGCTACCAATTTCATTATGTATGAGGTCAATATTTTTTTATTGGAGTTAAAATTAACGTAGATATATGACCGAACCTAACCAACCCTACCTAACCTAACCTAACCTATCTTTATAGGTTAGGTTAGGTTAGGTAGCCGAAAAAAAGTTAGGTTAGGTTAGGTTAGGTAGGTTAGGTAGTCGAAAAAACAAATAATTCATGAAAACTTGGCTTATTAGGCAAATCAGGCCTTGCATAGTAGGCTTAGAAGTGAGTTCTGGCTACTAGGTACGACATATATATATATATATATATATATATATATATATATATATATATATATATATATATATATATATATATATATATATATATATATATATATATATATATATATATATATATATATATATATATATATATATATATATATATATATATATCTACATACTAGCTGTACCCGGCCACGCGTTGCTGTGGCTCAGTAACCTTGCCCTGTCTCCCAGTCCTCCCCACCATTCCCCAATCTCTCGCCTGATGATCAAATGATCTGTTGTTCCCATCAGAAAATTGGGAATATCAAATGATCTGGGGCAAGATTCACGAAACAGTTACGCAAGTACTTACGTACCTGTACATCTTTTCTCAATCTTTGGCGGCTTTGTTTACAATTATTAAACAGTTAATGAGCTCCGAAGCACCAGGAGGCTGTTTATAACAATAACAACAGTTGATTGGCAAGTTTTCATGCTTGTAAACTGTTTAATAAATGTAACCAAAAGTGTCAATAATTGAGGAACGATGTACACGTTCGTTAGTGCTTGCGTAACTGCTTCGTGAATCTGGCCACAGCTGTTCCCTTCACTGAAGTATGAGAAAAAAATTCAAAAAATGAAATGAAAAATAATGAAAAAATAAAAAAATAAACTATACTCACGAAATGAACGATATGTAAACAAAACAGCTCATATCCGATGAAATGTCACACAAAATAGTTAAATGAAAATAAAAATAAATCGAAATTTATGAAAATTCAATTTATCAATGAAATTGGAATTACTGAAATGGAATCACAACATATTTATTGTAGCATGTGTTGGTCTTATGTGCAACAGATGGCGCTGTTTTTCTAAAACGCATGTTTTTACCTGTCACAGGTGTGGCATCTATATAGTGGGTATATAAAAACACGCGCGTATTCGAATGGAACGTTGTGTCAAAATTTCACAGCAATCAGTGAAGAACTTTCGAAGATTAGCGATTATGAACAAACGAACATTTACATTTTTATTTATATATATAATATAATATAATATAATGCATCATTAGGGGTATATAATATAATATAAGGGGCCTCGTAGCCTGGTGGATAGCGCGCAGGACTCGTAATTCTGTGGCGCGGGTTCGATTCCCGCACGAGGCAGAAACAAATGGGCAAAGTTTCTTTCATCTTGAATGCCCCTGTTACCTAGCAGTAAATAGGTACCTGGGAGTTAGTCAGCTGTCACGGGCTGCTTCCTGGGGGTGGAGGCCTGGTCGAGGACCGGGCCGCGGGGACACTAAAGCCCCGAAATCATCTCAAGATAACCTCAAGATAACCTTACATACACTTAACTAATACAATATTTACTGAACGTCAGCAATTAGAATATCTTAATAACCTTAACTAACTGCTTTCAGTTTGAAGTGTCTCAAATGCTTTATTTATTTCTTGTCTTATTGTGTGGTTTTGGATTCCTCTTTTATTTGTCTAAACAACAGTTTCTGGTTGTTGTTGTTATTGTAGATACGCTACTTGGAACAAAAAGTTCCAAGTAGCACGGGCTATGGTGAGCCCAGAAAAGTTTCTGGAGGGAAGCTTAGGTTATGTCCCAAGAGTGACAGCCGGATAGAAGCGATGTTAATCCTTTGAATTAGGAGTTAGGAACTCTCCTCAAACACGAATGCTGCTAACTTGGGGCTCGAACGCTGATGTATTATGTACACAGAAACACGGTGATCAAATTGGGCTGTTGGGGTTGGTATTGCTGGGCTGGACAGGGAATAGGTGATGAAGGGCTCACCTGAGTGGGACTAGACTTGGTTATCAGGTTAGGTTAGGATGGTGGGCAGGCTATCCAAGCCTAGGATGAATCTCATCCTAGGAGGGACTCCCTCATCCTAGGAGCGACTCCCTCATCCTAGGAGCGACTCCCTCATCCTAGGAGGGACTCCTTTATCCTAGGAGGGACTCCCTCATCCTAGGAGAGACTCTCTCATCCTTAGGAGGGACTCTCTCATCCTAGGAGGGATTCCCTCATCCTAGGAGGGACTCCCTCATCCTAGGAGGGACTCCCTCATCCTAGGAGGAACTCCCCTCATCCTCGGCTGACCATCCTGGATGATTGAGCGAGGGTGCACAGTAATGTCTGTGCTGAGGGCAGTTCATGTTGCCAATTAGACCCTGAACTGTGCAAGCCTGAACTGCCCTTTTAACTGTACTTATCTTGAACAATGCAGTGTATATTTTAATTAATTAATTAATTATTTAATTAATTAATTAATTAATTAATTAATTAATTAATTTATTATTATTATACATACCCATTCATTCAATACGAGGTTTTGGAATTGTTCAAGGGGGAAGTATATTAAGATCACCCAACCCTGTAGTTAAGATCACCCAACCCCTGTAGTTAAGATCACCCAACCCTGTAGTTAAGATCACCCAACCCCTGTAGTTAAGATCACCCAACCCTGTAGTTAAGATCACCCAACTCCTGTAGTTAAGATCACCCAACCCTGTAGTTAAGATCACCCAACTCCTGTAGTTAAGACGTGTTCAATCGCTACGCGCATTTCTTGCAATTAAAAGCGAGCAAATTGCTGTGTTGGCACAATGGGAACATTCACCCTACTTGTCTCAGATCACACCGCTACCCCAGTTCGACACCAGCTGGGAGGCCGGGAGTGGCTACAGTCACTCACGGGATCAAATATGCTACTCTAATGGTTTTATTGATATGATTTACATCTTGTCTCCTGAAGAGATGAGTGAACACTTGTTTGAACAGGTACTGGGCATCGGAGATTATCTTCAGGATGTTTTCGAAGTAAATGTTCCACAGGAGTGGTACAGTACCCTGGGGTACACATACCACTATGGTGTGTTCCACAGGAGTGGTACAGTACCCTGGGGTACATTTACCACTATGGTGTGTTCCACAGGAGTGGTACAGTACCCTGGGGTACACATACAACTATGGTGTGTTCCACAGGAGTGGTACAGTACCCTGGGGTACACATACCACTATGGTGTGTTCCACAGGAGTGGTACAGTACCCTGGGGTACACATACCACTATGGTGTGTTCCACAGGAGTGGTACACTACACTGGGGTACACATACCACTATAGTGTGTTCCACAGGAGTGGTACACTACCCTGGGGTACACTTACCACTATAGTGTGTTCCACAGGAGTGGTACACTACCCTGGGGTACACTTACCACTATAGTGTGTTCCACAGGAGTGGTACAGTACCCTCGGGTACACTTACCACTATGGTGTGTTCCACAGGAGTGGTACACTACCCTGGGGTACACTCACAGTAGTGTTCAATGTGGTACACTATATTCCCAGCAACACCCAGGACTGTGACACATGCTCCAGCAACACCCAGGACTGTAACACATGCTCCAGCAACACCCAGGACTGTGACATGCTCCAGCAACACCCAGGACGTTGACACATGCTCCAGCAACACCCAGGACTGTGACATGCTCCAGCAACACCCAGGACTGTGACATGCTCCAGCAACACCCAGGACGTTGACACATGCTCCAGCAACACCCAGGACTGTGACACATGCTCCAGCAACACCCAGGACTGTGACACATGCTCCAGCAACACCCAGGACTGTGACACATGCTCCAGCAACACCCAGGACTGTGACACATGCTCCAGCAACACCCAGGACTGTGACATGCTCCAGCAACACCCAGGACGTTGACACATGCTCCAGCAACACCCAGGACTGTGACACATGCTCCAGCAACACCCAGGACTGTGACACATGCTCCAGCAACACCCAGGACTGTGACACATGCTCCAGCAACACCCAGGACTGTGACACATGCTCTAGCATCACCCAGGACTGTAACACATGATCCAGCAACACCCAGGACTGTGACACATGCTCCAGTAACACCCAGGACTGTAACACATGCTCCAGCAACACCCAGGACTGTAACACATGCTCCAGCAACACCCAGGACGTTGACACATGCTCCAGCAACACCCAGGACTGTAACACATGCTCCAGCAACACCCAGGACGTTGACACATGCTCCAGCATCACCCAGGACTGTGACACATGCTCCAGCAACACCCATTACTGTAACACATGCTCCAGCAACACCCAGGACTGTAACACATGCTCCAGCAACACCCAGGACTGTGACACATGCTCCAGCAACACCCAGGACTGTAACACATGCTCCAGCAACACCCTGGACTGTAACACATGCTCCAGCAACACCCAGGACTGTAACACATGCTCCAGCAACACCCAGGACTGCGACACATGCTCCAGCAACACCCAGGACTGCGACACATGCTCCAGCAACACCCAGGACTGTAACACATGCTCCAGAAACACCCAGGACTGTGTCACATGCTCCAGCAACACCCAGGACTGTGACACATGCTCCAGCAACACCCAGGACTTTAACACATGCTCCAGCAACACCCAGGACTGTGACACATGCTCTAGCATCACCCTGGACTGTGACACATGCTCCAGCATCACCCAGGACTGTGACACATGCTCCAGCAACACTCAGGACTGTGACACATGCTCCAGCAACACCCTGGACTGTGACACATGCTCCAGCAACACCCAATATTCTAACACATGCTCCAGCAACACCCAGGACTGTGACACATGCTCCAGCAACACCCAGGACTGTAACACATGCTCCAGCAACACCCAGGACTGTAACACATGCTCCAGCAACACCCAAGACTGTAACACATGCTCCAGCAACACCCTGGACTGTAACACATGCTCCAGCAACACCCAGGACTGTAACACATGCTCCAGCAACACCCAAGACTGTAACACATGCTCCAGCAACACCCTGGACTGTGACACATGCTCCAGCAACACCCAGGACTGTAACACATGCTCCAGCAACACCCAGGACTGTAACACATGCTCCAGCAACACCCAGGACTGTGACACATGCTCTGGCATCACCCTGGACGGTGACACATGCTCCAGCATCACCCAGGACTGTGACACATGCTCCAGCAACACCCAGGACTGTGACACATGCTCCAGCAACACCCAGGACTGTGACACATGCTCCAGCAACACCCAGGACTGTGACACATGCTCCAGCAACACCCAGGACTGTGACACATGCTCCAGCAACACCCAGGACTGTGACACATGCTCCAGCAACACCCAGGACTGTAACATATGCTCCAGCAACACCCAGGACTGTAACACATGTATCCTCTTCACAGAAATGACTCTTGTTCCATTCTAAGGTGAACTGTAGTATCAGATCTAGTGTGCTTGTTTGGTCATTAAGGTCTAATTACTTCTTAGTGAGTAGTTGAATAATCCCTTAAAATTATTAAAGACTATGTAAAAATACCTTGAGGAAATGTCAAGGTAATTTTCCAGTTTCTCATCAGGTAATTTAAAAAAAATTGTTCCTTTGACTGAAAGCAAGTCTACAGTTTTCTTCTAATTTTTTTGTTATGGTCTCTACAACACGAGCCTTCTTCATTATTGCAGAGGATTCTGGTTAATGCAATCTTGCAAGAAGGTTGCAAGTGCATCTGGGCATCTTTTAAGGATGTAGGCAATCATATTGTCCTGTTCATGGGACGCTATCATTCTCTCCAAGTGGAAGATTTTGTCTTATTTTATCTGCTGTGACGTTACGAGAAGATAGGCTGGAATTGGTGAGAGAAGGAGCTTAGGGAGATAGAGCTATCTGGCTCTGTCTCTCACTTGTATGTTACTTGTGAAGTGAGAAGTTTGAAAATCCGGCTTCTCTATGACGCTGGTACCTAGAGTGGTCAAGGTCGTTCAGAGGTGGGGTGCAGGCGAGGAGTCACAATAACGTGGCTACAGTATGTTGACCAGACCACACACTAGAAGGTGAAGGGACGACGACGTTTCGGTCCCTCCTGAACCATTCTCAAATCGACTTGAGAATGGTCCAGGACGGACCGAAACGTCGTCGTCCCTTCACCTTCCAGTGTGTGGTCTGGTCAACAGGTGGGATGGCGTCGTCAGATAGCAGTATTTGGTATTTTCTAGCAAATAAGTTCCCAGCAAGCTTTTACTGCTCACTGATCTCCCATATAATGTTTATCTTCTGTCCTCGTGCCACTAGACAATAACTCATATTTTGTTTTGTTTTTCATATTTTTTTTATATCAAAATGACCCGTGTTTTGCTAGGATGGTTATCTGTTTATATGATTCTAAGCTCAGGACATTGATAACAATTTTGTGCTCCTCTCTCTCTCTCTCTCTCTCTCTCTCTCTCTCTCTCTCTCTCTCTCTCTCTCTCTCTCTCTCTCTCTCTCTCTCTCTCTCTCTCTCTCTCTCTCTCTCTCTCTCTCTCTCTCTCTCTCTCTCTCTCTCTCTCTCTCTCTCTCTCTCTCTCTCTCTCTCTCTCTCTCTCTCTCTCTCTCTCTCTCTCTCTCTCTCTCTCTCTCTCTCTCTCTCTCTCTCTCTCTCTCTCTCTCTCTCTCTCTCTCTCTCTCTCTCTCTCTCTCTCTCTCTCTCTCTCTCTCTCTCTCTCTCTCTCTCTCTCTCTCTCTCTCTCTCTCTCTCTCTCTCTCTCTCTCTCTCTCTCTCTCTCTCATCTTCAATCTTAACGATGATGTGCAATTGTCTAATGCAATTGCACATCAAAACTAGCACAGCCTGAAATATATTCTGACCTGTCTGTGGTGATCAGGGCGTCACGTGAGAGTCCGGACCAGTCTGTTGTAAATATCGTTGGACCGAAGATATGTAAGAAATGGTCCAATTTACAGACCTAACCCACTCATCCGGAAATAAAGTGACGACGTTTCGGTCCGTTCTCGAACGTCAGTACACGATTTGATGATTGTCCACGACGGACTGAAATGTTGTTATTTCTTTCATTTTCAGATGTCTGGGTTCGGTGTCAGGATTTTCTTCAAGAATTTTTTTATGACTTATGTCTTATAGTCGAGAAATGTTGGTGAGGCTGTCGGACTCTAGTCTCTCTCAAGAATGTCTCACTCAAGAATGTCTAACTCAAGAATGTCTCCTTCAAGAATGTCTCACTCAAGAATGTTTCCCTCAAGAAGGTCTCCTTCAAGAATATCTCCCTGAAGAATGTCTCCCTCAAGAATATATCCCTCAAGAATATCTCCCTGAAGAATGTCTCCCTCAAGAATATCTCCCTCAAGAATAACTCCCTCAAGCATGACGTGTTTCATTGCATTTACAAAACTAACAACGAAACCTGTTCATCTTACCTCAATTATAATGGATTAGTTCACATTTATTAAATCTCCGAAGAACTATGAGGTTCTTCACGACAATAATAACCTTACCATTAACCTGTGGGTCTCTAGGAGACTCGAACCCTGAACCCGCTATTGAGTAGTCTTAATAAATGAAGACAAAGCCGGAATGATATACAGGTTTCGAAAGGAGTTGTCAAACTGCTCGACGAATCTCTCGTGTAGTGAGGTCTGCCAGTACTGATGGTATGTTGATGATTGGGATGCTCTCGGACGCAGGTTCGAATCCTCGTCACGGCCCTTGTGGATTTGTTCATTTACTGATGGTACTTTAGATTACACAATGTGTTTAAGGGATTAAACTTGCCAGTACGTAATCCCCTTTATCGGTGTAATCCCTAGTAGACAGGATATGTTGGGATTTATCTTTTTAATTCATCTCCTGAACCGATTAGGGTAATCAGTGGCTTGTATATGTGTTTTATTATGTATTTCTTTGGGGTGTTGTGTGTTTGTTGAGTGTGTTGTGTGTTTGTTGTGTGTTTGTTGAGTGTGTTGTGTGTTTGTTGAGTGTGTTGTGTGTTTGTTGAGTGTGTTGTGTGCTTGTTGAGTGTGTTGTGTGTTTGTTGAGTGTGTTGTGTGTTTGTTGTGTGTTTGTTGAGTGTGTTGTGTGTTTGTTGAGTGTGTTGTGTGTTTGTTGAGTGTGTTGTGTGCTTGTTGAGTGTGTTGTGTGTTTGTTGAGTGTGTTGTGTGTTTGTTGTGTGTTTGTTGAGTGTGTTGTGTGTTTGTTGAGTGTGTTGTGTGTTTGTTGTGTGTTTGTTGAGTGTGTTGTGTGCTTGTTGAGTGTGTTGTGTGTTTGTTGAGTGTGTTGTGTGTTAGTTGAGTGTGTTGTGTGTTTGTTGTGTGTTTGTTGAGTGTGTTGTGTGTTTGTTGAGTGTGTTTGTTGAGTGTGTTGTGTGTTTGTTGTGTGTTTGTTGAGTGTGTTGTGTGTTTGTTGAGTGTGTTGTGTGTTTGTTGAGTGTGTTGTGTGTTTGTTGAGTGTGTTGTGTGTTTGTTGAGTGTGTTGTGTGTTTGTTGAGTGTGTTGTGTGTTTGTTGAGTGTGTTGTGTGTTTGTTGAGTGTGTTGTGTGTTTGTTGTGTGTTTGTTGAGTGTGTTGTGTGTTTGTTGAGTGTGTTGTGTGTTTGTTGAGTGTGTTGCGTGTTTGTTGAGTGTTTGTTGAGTGTGTTGTGTGTTTGTTGTGTGTTTGTTGAGTGTGTTGTGTGTTTGTTGAGTGTGTTGTGTGTTTGTTGAGTGTGTTGTGTGTTTGTTGTGTGTTTGTTGAGTGTGTTGTGTGTTTGTTGAGTGTGTTGTGTGTTTGTTGAGTGTGTTGCGTGTTTGTTGAGTGTTTGTTGAGTGTGTTGTGTGTTTGTTGTGTGTTTGTTGAGTGTGTTGTGTGTTTGTTGTATGTTTGTTGTGTGTTTGTTGAGTGTGTTGTGTGTTTGTTGAGTGTGTTGTGTGTTTGTTGAGTGTGTTGTGTGTTTGTTGAGTGTGTTGTGTGTTTGTTGTGTGTTTGTTTTGTGTTTGTTGAGTGTTTGTTGAGTGTGTTGTGTATTTGTTGTGTGTTTGTTGAGTGTGTTGTGTGTTTGTTGAGTGTGTTGTGTGTTTGTTGGTGATGTTGAGTGTGTTGTGTGTTGAGTGTGTTGTATGTTTGTTGAGTGTGTTGTGTGTTTGTTGAGTGTGTTGTGTGTTTGTAGAGTGTGTTGTGTGTTTGTTGAGTGTGTTGTGTGTTTGTTGAGTGTGTTGTGTGTTTGTTGAGTGTGTTGTGTGTTTGTTGAGTGTGTTGAGTGTGTTGTGTGTTGAGTGTGTTGTGTGTTTGAGTGTGTGAGTGTGTTGTGTGTTTGTTGAGTGTGTTGTGTGTTTGTTGAGTGTGTTGTGTGTTTGTTGAGTGTGTTGTGTGTTTGTTGAGTGTGTTGTGTGTTTGTTGTTGTGTGTTTGTTGAGTGTGTTGTGTGTTTGTTGAGTGTGTTGTGTGTTGTGTTGTTGTGTGTTTGTTGAGTGTGTTGTGTGTTTGTTGAGTGTGTTGTGTGTTTGTTGAGTGTGTGTTTGTTGAGTGTGTTGTGTGTTTGTTGAGTGTGTTGCGTGTTTGTTGAGTGTTTGTTGAGTGTGTTGTGTGTTTGTTGTGTGTTTGTTGAGTGTGTTGTGTGTTTGTTGAGTGTGTTGTGTGTTTGTTGAGTGTGCTGTGTGTTTGTTGAGTGTGTTGTGTGTTTGTTGAGTGTGTTGTGTGTTTGTTGAGTGTGTTGTGTGTTTGTTGAGTGTGTTGCGTGTTTGTTGAGTGTGTGTTGAGTGTGTGTGTGTTTGTTGTGTGTTGTTGAGTGTGTTGTGTGTTTGTGTATGTTTGTTGTGTGCTTGTTGAGTGTGTTGTGTGTTTGTTGAGTGTGTTGTGTGTTTGTTGTGTGTTTGTTTTGTGTTTGTTGAGTGTTTGTTGAGTGTGTTGTGTGTTTGTTGAGTGTGTTGTGTGTTTGTTGTGTGTTTGTTGAGTGTGTTGTGTGTTTGTTGAGTGTGTTGTGTGTTTGTTGGTGATGTTGAGTGTGTTGTGTGTTTGTTGAGTGTGTTGTGTGTTTGTTGAGGTTGTTGTGTGTTTGTTGAGTGTGTTGTGTGTTTGTTGTGTGTTTGTTGAGTGTATTGTGTGTTTGTTGAGTGTGTTTGTTGAGGTTGTTGTGTGTTTGTTGAGAGTGTTGTGTGTTTGTTGAGTGTATTGTGTGTTTGTTGAGTGTATTGTGTGTTTGTTGAGTGTATTGTGTGTTTGTTGAGTGTGTTGTGTGTTTGTTGAGTGTGTTGTGTGTTTGTTGAGTGTGTTGTGTGTTTGTTGTGTGTTTGTTGTGTGTTTGTTGAGTGTGTTGTGTGTTTGTTGAGTGTGTTGTGTGTTTGTTGTGTGTTTGTTGAGTGTGTTGTGTGTTTGTTGAGTGTGTTGTGTGTTTGTTGAGTGTTTTGTGTGTTTGTTGAGTGTGTTGTGTGTTTGTTGTGTGTTTGTTG